ACAGCTGTCGAAACACCACCAGTCCTCAGGAATAAGTTGGTGTCCATACTGGGGAATTGGGAACTATAGGGAGAATTTGAAGCATTAAGAATTGAGTTCACGTGAAAGTCTTGTGATGTTTCTGCAGAGAGATCAGCCCATGAATTAACTGGGCAAGGAAGGCCTGCACTGGGGGCTGGAAGTGACTGCTTTCTGCTGTGGAAGAAACCTGGAAATAACACAGGGAAGCTGGGGAGAAAAAGATGCCCACTCTAAGTACAGGGCCATAAGTATTGTTCCAGTCAGCAGGCATGAGAAGGGCGAAACTTGGTGCGCCATTCCATTTTGGACTCTGGCAATGTACTGGGTGTGCCCCAGAGAGTCCAGACCCTGTTCAGACTGCAGTTCTCTCAATTTGGTGATCTGTCTGGGCTTGCCATCCTCTCCCAGCACTACCTGGGCATATCTGCTCCAGGATTCTCTACTTGACTGTGCACAGGTGCCTGATTCTAGTGGGGCTGGGCACGCAGTTTGGATTTGCACACACTTCACTGACCCTCTGTTCCTTTCAATCGCTAGGATTTCTGGTCCACTTCACTGAATCCAGCGTGACGTGCTTTCTCTCAATGCTTAGCTTGATTTCAGCCCTTCGCAATGTGCCCTGGCCAGGAAAACCCTTCCCTGGCCTCTCCTGATAGGCTACAAGACTCACAATATCCAAAGTCCCATTTTAAAGAGGGAACTAAGGAAGCTAAGGAACTGGCTGGAGGTTGCATAGATCATGGCAGGACTGGAACCCTTGTCTATGTGGCTGCAAATTCCATGTTCTTTTCTCTACAATGTAGTGGTGGTCGGGGCTAGCAAACCCCAATGCCCTCACGGGCCAGAAAGATGGTGCAAAGCCTCCATGGTGAAAAGAAAGAAAGTAGAAACTGTGGTCTCCGACTGGAGAGTGAAACTCCTGCTATAAGTCCTGCCTAAACTCATCCAAATTAAAAACAAACAAACAAAAAGCACTGAACTGGCCAAACAATACAACTCTTGTCCAGGCTCAGGTATGAGACAAGCATTGTGTGATTCCTGCTGTAGTGTACCTATCTGCTGGAGAGCCATCTAGTCCACTCGGCCATGAGTGGCTTGATCTTACAATTCAGCTTTGCATCCCCAGAGCCAACTACAGTGCCTGGGATGTACCAGATGCTGCATAAGTGATTGTTGACATTGCGTGTGTATTTGTAAGGAACCTTAAATTTGTCCTGGAATAAGAAGGATTAAAAGTTTTAAAGAAGTTTGAACAAACAGCCCTATGCAAAGGCTGAAACCTTCACCCTTTATAACATTTAGTTGGCCTTTTGTGGCTATTCTAAACAGGACCAGTGTACGGGCACACCTACTCTCCCATCTGACTGGTTTCCACTTTGCCTTCACTACAAAACCTTCTCAACTTCTGAGTCACCTTCTTTGACTTTGTTCATCTATTGCCCTACCCAGTTCTTTAGAAAAATTATTAAAAAAAAATCTCATTTCAAAAGCTTATTAACAAAAGTCAGAAAATACAGATAAGTGCAAAGGACTTTAAAATATTCACAATCATATCCACCTAACTTCTGTTAATAAAATGATGCATAGCCTTCCAGATCTCCTGTGCACATGTGTGCACACACAGACACACACACCAATAACATCAGTGTTAAAATGTGCTCTCTGGATAAAGAGACCTCCCAAAACAGGCTTTGTGTGAACAACAAGGCTGTTTATTCACCCAAGTGCGAGTGGGCTGAGTCCAAAAAAAGAGTCAGCAGAGGGTGGTGGGATATGAGATGGTTTTATAGGTGTGGGGTAGGCAGTGGAAGTTACAGTTGAGGGTGGTTTTTTGCAAGCTAGGAAGGGGTGGTAGGGTCTGGAGTTACAAGGTTGACCAAGGGTGGTTACAAAGTCCAATTGCCTTATCAGTTGAGGTGGGAATAAGGAACAATAGAAGAATGTGTCAAGTTAATGAGGCACTGCAGGAATTGATCATTGATCATTCTTCCTCTTTTCATGGTCTTTCAGTTACTTCAGATTTTCTAATTCTGGGAGGCCATTCAGAGGTGTACATGTGGGTCCTGGGCATTGCCATAGCATCCATGGTGCCATTGGTCAGCCTAAAAGACCTCACAATCAGACCATAATATACATATGGTTTTGTAATTGGTTTTTTGGTATTTAAGATGGTATGATAATACCATCTTCTCATATTGATAAATATTTCTAGAAGGTGTTTTTAGTGTTTGTACACATCTGTTGTGCACATCATTTATTTAACTAACACTCCTCTGTTTGGCAATGTAGATTATTTTCAACTTTTATTTGTAGTGAAAAATAGTACTGCAGTGAGCATCCTTATGATTAAATTTTTGTACTCATCCTTAATTATCTTTTTAGGATGAATTTCCAGAAGGTGAATTACAGTTCACATCTAACTTTTTTGATGCGTAGTGCCAGGCTGCCCTGTGGAGAGGTTGTGTGGATGTGTGCACGCTCAGCAGTGTATACCTGTGCCCATTTCCTTGTACTGTTGGCAGCACCAGAGATTGTTCTTTTAAATTAAATACCTTTTAAAAAATCTTTTTTATTTTTAAATTTTTAAAAATTTTACCTTAAGTTCTGGATACATATGGAGAACGTGCAGGTTTGTTACATAGGTATATGTGTGCCATGGTGGTTTGCCACACCTATCAACTCGTCCTCTAGGTTTTAAGCCCTGCATGCATTAGGCATTTGTCTTAATGCTCTCTCTCGTCTTGCCCCCATCCCTTGATAGGCCTTGGTATGTAATGTTCCCCTGTGTCCATGTGTTTTCATTGTTCAGCTCCCACTTGTGAGTGAGAACGTGGTGTTTGGTTTTCTGTTCCTGTGTTAAGTTGCTGAGCATAATGGCTTCCAGCTTCATCCATGTCCCTGCAAAGGACACGAACTCACCTTTTTTGTATGACTGCATAGTATTCCATGGTGTATATGTGCCACATTTTCTTTATTCAATCTATCATTAATGGTCATTTGGGTTGATTCCAAGTCTTTGCTTTAAATTAAATGCCTTTCTACTTTTAAGTTGAAACACTCTGCCATTGCTTCAATTTGCCTTTCTTTGGTAACTACTAGTTGATTATATCTCATATGTTCTTGTGCATTTGTGTTTCTTATTTTAAAAATTTCTTGTTCATTTATATGCCCTTTCTATAGGAGATTTTGTCTTTTTTACACAAGGAAGGTGAATCACAATCTTTTTTTTTTTTAATGTCCCCTCCTCCATGACATTGCTAAATACCCAGCAATGGGCAGCCTTATACTTCTTTTACTTTTAGGACTTCAGATTTGCTGTTGCACTATTATTGTCTATTATTATCTTCCTGTTTGATACCTTAGAGTCTTTCTTTCTCAACTTGATTGAAAGCTCCGTGAAGGCAGGATCATGTGTTGAGTAGTTAAACTGCGTGATTCATCAACATCATAGAAACGTGCCATTCAGAGTAGCAGCATGAGGTCTCCTGAGCTACTGAGAAACATCTCATGTTTCTTATGAGAAGTTTTCCTTATTCCCTCTCAATCACATGACATGGGACAACATTAGAGCTGAAGAGGCTTTCGAGGTCCTCTGAGGTTCAGCTGATGATTTGCCCTGAAGCTGTTCTTTCTTTAGGCACTTTTTCACTCCCTGTTTTTTCTGTTGCTAGAACATTTCTATTCCATGCATTCATTTATCAGACTTTAGCTCACAACCTACTTGTTGACAGCATCATGTTGTGTGCCAGGGGCACCCCTGTCTTCACGGAATATGTTCTTTGCCTTCTGAAAATTATGGTTTAGTGAAGACAGACACCTGGGGTAGGGAGCAGGGAAAGGGCAGAGGGTAGAGGGGACACCGGGAAGGTGAAGGAAGGCATCCCACATGGCTTCCAAAGTCAACTGGTGTTTTCTTGTAGTATTTGACACATCTTACCACTCCCCCCTCTTGACGTCCTCCCTTCCCTTGCCTCCTGAGATGTCACACTCTTCAGGTCCCCTTTCTTAGTCTCCATGCAGGCCCTCTTTGTCTCTTTGCAGAATCACCCTTCTATATGAGGTCAGTAAGATCGGGCGTCACTATTCAGTTCCCAGGTGGAGGCATGGGAGGGCCTGGGCCTAGCCCTCCAGGGTTCCAGGCTGTGGAGTTTGGAGGGGCAGGTCTGGCCTTTCCTGGGTCAGCACAGGGCACCCAGGTGGGGGCAGAGGTGGGCACCCAGCACAGGCACCTAGGTAGGGGCATGAGCTTACTATCCGTTGGCCAGCCTAATTGTGTTTGGAGAAATATTCCTTGCTGTCATCCACGTTGGGCTTAATCATGTCACTGCCAGGCTTCCAGCCAGTGGGATAAACTTCCCCATGCTCGTCCGTGTACTGGAAGGCCTGGACCAATCGAAGAGCCTCATCCACGGAGCATCCCACAGGCAAATCATTAACAGTGATCTGGCAAAGGACACCCTTGCCATCGATGACAAAGAGACCCCTGTAGGCAATGCCCTCATCTGTTTTCAGCACGCCATAATCCTCAGACAACCGTCTGGTCACATCAGCAAGCAGGGGGATGTTCAGGGGGCCCAAGCCTCCCTCCTTCCTGGGAGTGTTGATCCAAGCCAGGTGGGTGAACTGAGAGTCCACCGAGATGCCCAGCACTTCACAGCCCAGTTTGCGGAAGTCCTCGGCATGGTTGCTGAACGCGATGATCTCCGTGGGGCACACAAAAGTGAAGTCCAGAGGGTAGAAAAACAGGACCACGTACTTCCCTTTGTAGTCCGATAGCTTCACCTCTTTGAAGGCGCCATCCACCAGGGCTGTGGCCTTGAAGTCACGGGCAGGCTTTCCGATGCGCGCGATACCGGAGGCCATGACTGAAAGCTGCGTGGGCAAAGGCTAGCCACACGGATGATCACACGCGTGATCTCATGATGGGATTGTAGCTCCCAGTGAAAGCCCAGAGAACGAGAGGACGCCACACTTTCAGATCAATTTTTGTTGCTCACGCACCAGGAAATTCCCAGCAGAGGAGCCCCACGGGTCACCAGCGCGACTCCTGTGGCCGGCGAGGTGGTTTTGCCGCTGCCTTGGTGAGGCGGTTCTCGGTGCAGAGTCAGAAAAGCACCATCAATCTTAAAGCCGCTGTTTTGGCCGGAGCAGTGGGTTGCTCAGATTTTAGTGCCAGGAATCAACAAGTTGGACGTCTCATCAGAAACCCAATTATGAAGACGGTAATTATAAAGACCACAGATGGATAAATCTATAACGAAGGGAAGAAACCAGCCTAAAAAGGCTGAGAATACCCAAACTCAGAATGCCTCTCCCTCTGCAGGGGATCACAGTTCCTCATCAGCAACGGAAGAAGGCCTGATGGAGAAAGACTGTGTTCCATTAGCAGAAGCAGCCTTCAAAACGTGGATGATAAGAAACTTCTGGGAATTAAAATAACTTGTTCTAAAGCAATGAAGAGAAACTAAGAACTCTGAAAAAAGGTTTGACGAAATGTTAACAACAACACACAATTTAGAGAGGAATATAAGTGAATTAATGGAGCTGAAAAA